CAGAGAGTTTAATATTTATTTGTCTTTAATCTTTTTTTAATTTAATTTTTATTTATTGATACACCCTCTGCTGAGAGAGTTACAGAAACAGAAACATTCGTTTCCTTCTGTCATGGTCACTCACTGCAATTTGGGCTGAGCTCAGGCACAGTGTGCATCACCTCGTTACCCAAAGTAATGTGGCCGTTGTATAACACTGCCTACTAGTTCATCACATAATATTAAAACACAACCTTCACTGTAACCGTAAAAAAATGCGAATCATTGCGACACCACACATTTTCACCAGAGAACGAGTCCGATGACTGGTATAGACTTGACCTAGAACTAATGTAAGTACCAGAGGTATCTGAAGTCCATACAAACATGTTCAACACTGTGTGTGGTCTCATAGGCAACCTACTCATGTTGTGAATCACACGTAATGCTATTTTTAGCATGTTAAAAGCTAAAAGTGCTAACCCCTCCGGCTGACCAGGTTTGCTCAATAACTGCTAGGCTACAGTTTACAATGTATATACCGAGATGATATATGTCGGACCAGAGTTTCCCCCTTTTTCCTGCCGACAGCACTCAGTGACACACAACAACAGAGCTGTGTGTTAACAGCTGCACTTCTCCCTTAGGTAAAAGCAGGAGGGTCTAAACAGAACGTCCCGTAGGCAACGGACAAATAACTTTTTGTTTGACTGGGGCCACTGTTGCTCGACAAAGCTAGCAAAATTGCTAAAACGTACAATCGTTTAAAAACCTTTTATCTCTTTAAATGTGCTTTGTTTGTGTTGTCATTTCTCAAGCACTCTGCCCTGTGGGTCCTGTCCCGTCTGACGGGCCTTTGGATCAAAGCCAAGGATATCATTTGTGATTATCTCTTTATTAATTTGTGTACTTCATGTTATTTTAATTAGCGGTTTAGACAGCAAAGTCTTTTAACATCAAGGAATCTCCTACCCTCTCTTTACGGAGACATGCACCCCTCTCTGTAATTACGACATAATTCATGAGAGAATTCTTTGTGCTGCCGCGGTCCTTTATACTGTCCACATAATCTCGTTACATATATTTGCCCATGTGACCGGTGTCTCATGAAATCTTCCTCTTCTTCTGTCCAAATAAATTATAAAGATTGATGAGCGCCGATGTAGTAAAGCAGTCAAAGGCATTAATCCACAGCTACTACCGTACGGCTAATGTTAACAAATCTCACTCAGTAAATTTTAATAATGGGATCTCAACTGACAGGGTAAACTTCCTGTCATGTTTTCAGGACCTGTCAGCAGCAAATGGGAATGTGTGTCTAGGGCTTACAGCGCTGACTTTGCCTTCTGCCACCAGAGGAAAAATCGCCTGTCTGTGTTCACTCCTCTCACTGTCTGTTTAAGGTGGAAAACCTTTGAATGTTTTTTATTATATCCTCATTTAGTTGACATTGTTGACAGCAACATCTCCTGAAAGTCTAAACTTTGTTCTTCACAAACTCCTGCGACCTTCAGAGTCCTCACCGGTTCACTGTCCTTTGGTGTATTCAGCCTGAAGTTCACCTCTTTAATCACAAGGCTCTCTACAACCAGCCGCCCCTCATACCTCTGCACCATGCATCAGCTCCATGTCAGCTCCATCACTCCACTAACAACAGCCTTCTATAATCTCCTCTCAGGACCTGTGGAGACAGAGTCTTTCTCACAGCTGGGTCCTGCTTCAAGAAGATGTATGAAGACATCGTCGCCACTCTCAGACACATTCCAATCCGATGACTAAAATGTGTTACATTGTGGAGATCAGGCCAATCTCCAGGAGTACCGTATTTTTCGGACTATAAGTCGCTCTGGAGTATAAGTCACACTAGCCGGCTAGAGTGCCCTCTAGCGGCTGTCAGTGTGAAAATAACTAATAATTATGTCGCACCTAAGAATAATATTATATATTTTTTAAAAAAGTCGCACCTAAGAATAAGTTGCAATCCCAGTCAAAGGATGAAAAAAGGTGCGACCTATAGTCCACAAAAATATGGTTGTCAAAAAAATGAGCAAACGCAAAAGTTGTTGAGTTGAGAAATTCCGACACAGTTTGATCACAGGTGAATGTGATATACAGGAGATTATTTTTACGTGCAAAACAAATAGTATTTTTGATATAGCAGAGCTCACCGACATCGGACAGTTTCACATCTGCGTCAAGTTAACGACAATTGCACCACAGCAGCGGAAGTGACATCATCATGCCTAAAGGAAGTGATCATTACAACATACAATCTGTATGTGTGCCTGATTTGTCTTTTACTGAAACATTCCAGTGTATCATAAAGAAACTCTGTCCTGACTTGTTTGGAGTATTTTTCAGGTATAGATCTAAGTCCAATCCTTAAGAAACATAATCAGATTTGTCAGTGGTTTATAAATAAACAATAGAATTATGTTTCCATTGTATTTTTAGAAGGTCTACAAACCAGTCTGTGGCTGTTGATGTCATAAAACCAGTAAATTGAGTTTCTTTTCTCCTGCAACTCAAAAGGACACAAAGTATTTTGTCCAAATACAATGTGCTCACCTCTCATTTGCATCAAGCATGAATCCAAGAAATCAACACAGATTATCTTTAAATGGTTTTGTGGCTCTATTATAAGAGGCCTACAGTACAGACTGTTCCAAACTCCTGCCACACACAGTTCCTCCGCTCAGAGGAGAGTTCTTCCTGCGGGTCCACAGAGGAGGTGGATATCATCCACGGACCAGAGCTGGACGCAGGTTTCTCTGTATTACCTCTGTCTCTGCTAATTTAACTGCTTTGCTCTGTCCTTAATAACGTAAACACTGCACAGCATCCTCAACTGTCCGTTTAACTTAATGCTAAGCAGAATTAATTCCGTCTCTGCTGGAGGCACAGTGGACATTGCGTTCAGTAGTTAGCCTGGTCTCCTGCTTCCTCTCTTTACTTTGAAGCTTTCGCTCTGATTAATGGTGGAGTCCATCCCTCCCTCCGTTAACCCCGCGGAGGCAAACTGGTGTGCAGCCATCCTTCTTGTCTTTTCCACACTGCTGTTCCCGTGCACCACAGTATCATGCCTCCACCATGCCTCAGGGCTGACGAGAACATGTTTTCACAGTGCACCACAAACCACAGAGCACATCTTTCAACATGACTTCGGTCATTTCTTTCCCAACTACGACAACGGTTGAGCGAAGCAACTTTAAGGCTTGGTGTGATGATCGTTTCAGAGGGAGATTGTTTTGGCGTCAGAACCTGTGAGTGTGAACACCTCCCTGTTTGGCCTGTGTGCCCTTGTCGTTTGCTTAATTAGTTTCCTTTGACCAGGTTTGACCCAAATGATCCTCATTAGCCGCTCTGTTTACACTGAACTTGTCACTAATTTTCCATCTCACACTGTTATTCTCCGTCTTTTGTCTCTTTCTCGCCCTCACCTTTTCACAATGATCCAGGAACTCAATGGCCTGTTTTACATTCTTACAAATTCTCCACCCTGTCATTAAGGGACAATTTTCAAGAAGAAACAGTCATAGATCTGCGTATTATTACAGTCCTCCTGTAATTATCCTCCTTATTAATAGGTCTTGGCGGCTGCTAAAAAGGACTAAAATGTCCTACCCAAACTGGCATCTGACATGGGAGAAAATTATGAAATGAATCAAATACAACATTTAAGCCACATGATTTATGAGTGTGCCGTGGAGCTTTATTTACAAGCCGCTCAAAAGATTCTCACACAACAAGTCATGAGCGTGACGTGCTTGACTGTGTGACGGAGTATTTGCATCATAAACCAGTTATGACCATACCTTATTCCACCAGTCCCATTACGTGGACACACGTGGCCTCAGTCCCCTCTGGCGTACACAGTAGTAATTGAGAACGTGAAATATTTCCATTGGTGGCAAAGAGCAACCATTTATATTTGTGTTTCAGCGTATGTCACTCAGGTTGTCGCCCTCGCCAATGATTGTGGCTCCACGGAAAAACAATAGTAAACACTTTGTTCTATTACTGTCTTTTCCAAACAACCCCATTAAATGTTAATCATGTGGGACCACACCTCATTGCACACAGTAATACAGTCTTTACTCCCCCGCGCTTGGGTTGTGCGCTGCAGCGCCCGCTGAATGTCGTATTCACAAGTCAAAACTGTGCATTTGTTTCCACAACACAGTGGCCAGTGGTCAAAACTGATGAGGTCTGGAGAGGAAGAAGGTCCAAGTCCTCTTATCAGCGCTGATAAAGAGCGGGTACGACTTGACTGATAGTTTTTCTGGTCATGGATCATTAACCAGCACACTAAGGACCTGTCCCAAACAAAACAGGGATCTGCTGCTATTTTCCTCAAAAAGGTTGAGCCCTGAAGGGTAAATACTGTGGACCAACGTCAGTCGAAATACCTTGAAGGTGGGAAGTTTATACTGGTTGATACGGTTTGAGCCGAGCGGTGTAGAGATCTGACAACGCTGACTGAAAAAAATAAGAATAGTTGTGGGCGGTTTTCAGTTGGAACTGCAATACGTTTGCATAGACTTTACAGGCGAGTGTAAACGTGACCCGACATGGTTGTTTATCTCCATATACTCCCCCCTCCACTCCCCCACAAGTTGGACTGATGACTTGTCCGGGGTCTGACTTAACCTTTGCCCTATCCCCGCTGGGATTGGCTCCGTCTTCCCCATGACCCGTATGGAGAAATAGCAGATTTAAGGACAATGTCACCTCATATCATCTTCGTTTTCAAGGGACTTAATGAGTTGTTGTGGCCAAATATTGGCAAAAGTCAATGAGCTTTGAGGACACAAACTTGTGTCTACCACAAACACAGAACAACCAACCAGAAACCACAAACCTTCAATCATCTTCCACAGAGCTTTGAATTATGTTGTTGAAAACATGGGCCGAGGACAGAAAAAAAATCACACGCATATACAATACACGCACACACACACAATAGGACGGAGAGCCCCAGGTCAGTGCAGTTGAGTGTATAGGATCCTGTCGGCTCTTACCTTGTTCTCAGTGCATGGTAAGCCGTTCTCATGCGTGTCCTTTACCCTTGGCGTGTTTGGCTCTCCTCTCAGTACTGCGGGACAAAGCATTACAGAGCTGTCACCTGGACATCCATTAACATTACATGATAAAGCAGATCACATTAGCATCCTGACAACTCCCCGGAGCGCTTTTTTTTCTTAAGTCCAGGAATCAAGTCACCACGTACGTTTTCAATCAGGCTCTGTCATTAAACATTTAACGCCCGCAGCTTGGTCTTAGCTGAACACAATCTGCACGTACAGTAGTACAGTCAACTGAGAAATTAATTTGGCTCCAACCAGAGATATTTACTTTATTGTCATGATGATGTTGCAACAATTAGTTCCCATATTAATTACTAACTGACAGCTAATTAATCATTTATATTTCATAGTTGTGGTTAGGTTATATAAAGACAACCAAATTTGGGTCTTTTTTTGTTCTGCTTACCAAATAAAACAGTCAATGTTTTAACATTTTATGACACAGTGATCTTTATTTTACATCATTTTGTAAATAGTTTGACTAACAAATGAATCATCTAAATTTCCCTGACATTTTTTATTGATTATTATTAGCTTCTAAGTCTATATATGGCGTTTTTTGACATCACAGAATATGAAATTTTTATTTTGTTTTATTTCTTAATTAACGTTTAGGATGCATTTGCTGTTCTTTTATGCCACTTCATGTATTTTAATGAGCCAAATTATTAATTACATCAGAAAAACACAGGCGATCAGAGAAATCCTAAGACTTTTAAATATGAAAAGTTTAAAAAAACAACCAAAACACGTCGATGACGAAACTTAGCTTTCAGTTAGAAACCGGTTAACTGTTCAATATTTGAAGTTTAGTTTCTCAATCCTTAGATTTTTCATATAAGACATAAAGAAAAAAAAAACAAAAATGTATCAGTTCATATTTAAATATTAAACTAATTAAATTTAATTTAAATGCGCTCGTTTGTATTTTACGCTCATGTAATTCATTAACTGTAATAAGTGAGACGAAAGACGGAGGCTTTATTGGAAGTAATTGGTTAAAATGTTCGCAGAATAACAATAATAAAATAAGTATCGCAGATTTGATCTGACCGAGAGAAACAGACACGTTTCACGCGAACGTTTACAATAAATATTTTTACGACCTTTCACTGGTTAGATGTGTCACACGGTTCCATGTGTGTAGTTATGGAGACTATAATAAAACAATTGAGATATATAAATATCTGGCACCGTCTTTATGGCAGTATAAATAAGGCACTGAGTAATGGGTGTAAAATCAATCACTGAGCGCAGAGTAAACAGCAGGCGGCCACTCACATGTGAGCCACTTCACTGGTGCAGCTGTTTGAGATGTTGCCCCAAAATTCTTCAAATTCTCGGCGCTGTCACTCTAAGTGTGCTCCCATCCGGCTCCTGACTGGAGCAGTGGATCCCCGCTGACCCCCGCAGTCACAGTCTGGAGGTGTGCGGTTCTCTCTGCTCCTCTACCAGAGGTGAGGACCAGTGTGCGGGTAATCCATTAATCTGCGTCCCGTCCCGTCCCGCGCGTCCCGTCAGGCTGCCACAGAGTGCGTGTGTCCCGTCAACCAGGAGCAGAGCTCTGTCTGTTCTTACCTCACAACCTTCCCACCTCCCTCCTGTTCTCCCTCCCTCCTTCCTCATCTCCTCCCCCTCTATCTCCTCCTCCTCCTGGGTCAGCCAGCCTGTCCTCTAGGATGAAGGGAGGAGTCAGGAGTGAGGGCAGGCTGCTGAACATACCTATGTTTCCTTTGAAAGCGTATGTTGGACCTTGTGTGGCATAAACACATCAACCTTACCCGTGTTGTAATCCTCGTAACCTCGAATTTCAAAGCTAACATCTGCTAATAAAAACCTAAGAAGCAAAGGAAGAGGAGGTGAGGACTGGGGGGAGGAGCAGGACCAGCTCACAAGTCTGAAAGCGTGATTTAAACTTGAACATTATTTCAAAATTATTTATTATTATTATTTTGAATATTAATATAGACCAACCCTAGGGGGCGCTGGTCAGTAGGAGGGATTGTTTATCAGTACTGACTGGAGCTGGTGTCATCACCAGTCTCATCAAAGACAGAAATTGTGGTGGTCTGACAGACTGACACATACTCTGCAAGAACTGCGTGAAAATTAAGTCAAATAATATTTTTTAATTTGGAAACTTTTACACCTTGTTCTTGATGCATCTCATCATCATCTGGGCAGAATTGTTTTCCTAGTGAACTACAGCAGTGTTTCCCAAACCTTTTTCCTGGGGGCCCATATTTTAAAAGTCACAAACCTTCGCGACCCAAGTCAATAGACATTATTCATAAACTCCTGGGAAACATGATGCGAGACGACCCCCCCCCCCAAAAAAAAAAAACTCTTGCGACCCACCTGAGGGCCGCGACCCAGTCTTTGGGAAACAACAAACTACAGTGTTATCCAAAATCCATCTCTGCTGTTCCCACCATGCTGCTGTTTAATCGTCGTTTCTGACTGTCGAGGAGTTGACGCTGATGTCTCATGACGTATGAAATGTCCTGGACAAAATTTCAATTTCTCTGAACTCACAGACGCTGGGGCAGAAAAGAACTGGAGGCAACAGAAAAAGAAGTTCCTGAAGGCTCATGAATACTTTCATTTTAAATCTCATCCAGCAGAACCACTTCATAGAAACACAGTTATTTTTAACCGCAAGAAAGTTGAGCTTTGTTATTGAGACTAGAGTATTCAAATAAATACATCTTTATTTTATTTTAAGTGACTGTAAACCAATTACATGTCAGCGTACTTTATGACGTGTGTGAATCTGTCACTTAATTATTGAATTGTGCAGAAAGCTATTTGATTAATTGTGATTAATCAAAGATAATCATGACATTTATCAAGGTCAAAATCATTTCCTAGCACAAATTTGAACTAAACATGTATTTATTTATCTGTTTATTGTTTTAATTATTTATGTTTGAATATTTTTGGCTGCAGGATCACATCCAGCTCAAAGGCATTAATTACCGTCATTGTCATTGTCATTATCATTATGTTGATCACAGCATTTCACACATTGTTACTGATACTGCAGTATTGCATTACTGCACACTCACTCACTCTCACACAGAGACTGAGAGAGCAGTAAAGTATCCTGTATCAAATGTGTGTTTTTTTTATTTTGGCCATAAAAGTTCATTTTGATATAATGTGATTCAATTTAGAAGTAACTGTAGTAGAAGTACTGTGGTTGTTAGTAATAGGTTGACATAGCAGCAGTAATATTCATAGTAAAGGTAGTACAAATAATAATATATATGTAAGAAAGTGATAAAAATAGTTATAATACTATTGGAAATAATAATATATATGTAAGAAAGTGAAATCGTTATAATACTATTGACAGTAGTTAAGGTAGTAACATGTAGTAGTTATTAAATAACCAGTGGTAATAAATACTGCTTCAGTACATATACGACAGTCCGTGAGAAAGAAGTAGTACTAGACCAGAACACCATAGGACGGGCCTCTGCCACAGGCATCAGGGTGTTCTTGACTGTAAGCAAGTGAGAACAGACCACATGACCAGTACTGCAGTGAACATGTCATCAGACACAGACTTCAGGATTACATAAACTCCACATCTCTGCCAGAAAACACTTCCAAATGTTGTGATACACATGTGCTACGAACTAAAAAATTGAATTCTTGTATTATGTCACGTTGAGAGATGAGCACATGTGGCCACATCGTCGGCCATGTGTGGTCGTAAATCAAGTCTTAGCAGTACAAGTGGTAGCAACAGTGGTAATACTAATAGCAGAATAATAGTCGTAAAAGTATAAAGACTAGTAGTAGTTAAACTAGTCGTGCAGCAGGGCCAATTAGACAGAACTTCCTGCTGGTTACATTCTGATGTAGGGTGTGAGGGAGGAACGTTAAAAGACAGTATATTGATTTAACTTGTAATATTTTTTAATCTGGTCCAACTCACTTACAAACCTGTGTGTGTTAATGTATGGAGAGAAAGAACAAAAGACACAGTACTGAATATTAATACTCGATGCAGTATTTATGATGCAGCAGTTGAGTTACTACCACTAGCACAGACACACACACACACACACACACCTCCCGCCCTGCTCTATCTTTTAACTCGGTCATGAACAGGGATTTTTGCACTTGTGCGTCTTCAGGAATGTCGCTCTGCTGAGTCAATGGCGCACGTGCAGGACGCGCCCTGGTGTAGGCTATACACAAACCTGAAGTAAGAACAAAAAAAACATTAAAACACAAAACATATTGTCTTACAGTTTTAATGTCAAGCCTCTCACGTAGAGACACGTGTGCCAGATGGCACGCATTTCCACCTTACCCTAATGAACCTCCAACATGTTGAGCTTTAACTTGAAATATTTGTTCCACCTCAGTTAAGGACCACATCAAAGAGGACAACAAGCTATTGATTCACTTAGACAACTACTATTTCATATTATTATTATTATTATTATTGTTACCCAGGAAAACACTTTCCTCACAATCCTTAAAAGTTAGAAAATATGGTCAAAAGAAAAAACACGAGCAGGGGGCAACATCAATGCAGATTTGTAGTTGTTATAACCAATCCCTTGATACCGTACCTTTCAATCCCAGTCTATCATCGTCCTAATCCAGTGTCCACAGCAGCAAACACAAACAAAATTGCTGTTCAACCGGGGGTCACTCTTTGTTTGTCTGGCTAAAAGTCATTGATCCTTGGCAGGGACAGAACTGTCCCATGATGTCAGAGGACCTGGCTGCTTTTTTCTGCGCTGCTGCCAGTTTCACATCAAATGTCTTTCCTCGGTTGGACGTTTTTTTGTTCTGATGCGGAGGCAGTAGGGCTGTGAGCTCCCTGAGAATCACTCTAATGTGATTATCCCGACTCTTCTGGTCTTAGAGGACGTTTTGACACAAAGCAGTAAAGCAGCAGAATTAATTCACTCTGTTTGTTCAACAGCTTTGTTCAAGTGACAAGCAGCCGTGAAGAGGGACGGAGATTGGGAGCAACAAAGAGAAAGGCATCAGCTGGATGTCCTTGGGGCTTTGAGATTATGAAAGTGAAAGATTTTATTTAAAAAGCACATCATCCCATTATTGTCTTTTTTTTTACAGCTATCCACTGGCAGGTAGACAATGTATTGAGTGTCATTTTAATGACGAGGAGCACCAAAGCTTGAGTGGAATGTAGGAGACTTTAAATATCCCAATGACAACCTTTATTTTCCCTGGGGACCCTGTGCTGGACATTCTCCCACATGTTGGGGCTTATTTCTAGAGCCCAGTATTGTGCCAGAAATAAAAATGACAGCTGTTCTCTGTGTGGACGTCTGTCCTGCGATACATTTTCCGTGTCCATTCTCAGAAATGTCTACTTTCATTGACAATTAAGACCAAATAAACATGGAAGTGTATCTGAATGATTCAGCAGTGTGGTAAACCAGGGACACTCCCCTGCCTACAGAAGGGAACCATGGTAACATTCCTGGAATACACTCAACAGAATCCAAAACCAATAAGTCAATCAAACTAATTTGTGTTTAGCCCCATCAACATTTAACCATCGTCAAACACGGATACCACCGACCACAGCACTGACAATTCACACAGAGGGATAAAAAGTCCAAACGGAGCCGTTTGTCTTCGGCTGTAGGAGGAACACTGAGAACAGAAGAACACCTGGTCTGACAAAAACTGGCACTGTAGAGTTGAGGGACATGTGAGAAAAACATCAAATTGTCCACGAATAGCAGAGGCAGATGAGGAATTTGGAATTTGACATATTCACGTCTGTAATAACTATAAGAAAAGATACTGTAGGACGTTGCTTTTCCAAGAAAGCACTATTTTATTTTCATCAAGGGACTCTTTAACTGTCGTCAGAGGCGTTTTCCAGAAGATGCTAACTTTGGAAACCTATAACGGACGACGAAGAATTCCTCCAAAACCAATGATCACACAAAGCCTTGTAGGTTAATCGTTTTTTCCGATGTTGTTTGTCTTCTATGACTTTCTTGTTAAGGGACACAGGGAACCCTGCAGCCAACTTCAGTTCACACTGAATAAATCTGATTAAACTTTCTTTGTTTTCAGTCCATTCCAGGGCCATATGTAAAGACAAACAATCAATCACACTCACATTAACTCCCACGGTCTTTAATCAACCTGATCCCAATCAGTACTGCTTCTAGGACTGTGGGAAGAAAAAAGACTACACGGAGAAACTCATGCATATAACAGGAGGGTTGGGGGATTGATTCCAGACTTTGTAGTTTATAGGTTGCGGCCTTGCTGTTAGTAGGTGTTATAAATGTCAAAAGCAGTAGCATCAAGTGATCTTTATGTGATCATCACGATAAGACAGAGTATTGTAAAAGTAAATCCAATGTTTACACAGAGAACATGTATCTCCATACATATACGAGCTGATTTAGCTGAACGGGCTTGAACTGGCGACGTTTGTGCTGCGATGCAACAGTGAAAACCACTGTTCTTCTTCGCCATTATCGCCATCATCTGATTCTTCAGTCTGTTGGTTCCATGCAGTGGTTTTCAAATCCCAGGGTGGCGCTAAGTGACCTTTGCAAATTGGAGAAAAGATAAGAAAAAAAACCCATAATTGTCAGTTTTTTATGTTTCCAATAATATAATACCTGAACACACAGTTTGCAC